AGTTGGTGTGGGTGGGCAGGCTGGCGCAGAGATGACGGACTTCCTCATCGTGCTCAACTCACGCTCGGTTAGTTATCCCCCTAGACCCTTGATCGTGGCTGACTCATTTCGCGTCCCGGCACGTGTTTGGATCTGCCTTCCTTCCAAAGGCTGTCGTGAGTGATTACACTTACCGACAATATCCAGCCTAACGTGATTGCCATCTCTCGTGTTCAGAGGTCGTTCATGGCCGCGGGTTCACTGACTCTTGGTGGTAACATGAGTCTGGCTGTCGGTCCTCTGGGTCGTAATGGGGAGGCCTCGACCGCACTCAGCACGAGTGGCAAAGTTGCTGCAATGTTCGTACCATACCTTCATCACCTTTCTGAATTCTTGTATCGACATCATTTCAGGTACAGTTACTCTAAAACTCGCGGCCTCTTTGGTGGTGTCTCTGTGGAAGGCTCCGTGATCGTTGAGCGACAGGATGCGAACGCCCAAGCATACCGCTCTGACGTCAGCGCAAAGCAAATTCTCAGTGGTAGCGTCACACCGCCGGAGTGGGCACAAACCCTTATCCGCACGCTAGAGGCACGTACTAGCTCACCCGGCGGACGTGCATGGGTGCATGATGGTCGACCCTCAACTGACTCGCAGTACGCGTTTGGTGGAATTTCGAGCTCCAAGGCCGAAGCGCCGCAATCTTCGCGCAAACAACAGCCCAAGACTCGCAACGCTGACAGCTTCCCGCCAGGTTCCTGGGGTACATCCAAGAATACGGGAAGCTATTTCGGCCCCCCTTCGGAGGAGGCTGTCTCTGGTTCGGCCTGGGACTATGACCATGCTCCTCGGATCGATGATCCACCACCTTTTGAGACCCGTTTTGAAAGTGACTTTGTTCCCTCCGTACGCCCACACGTTCGGCACACCGCTGGACAGTCGCTCGATCTTTCCACCGGCAGTAGTCCCGGTCCAGGCCAGAAATCTGCACATAGCCGGTCTTCGAGCAGTACCACGAGGACTACCAATCCGTTCTACTCGAAAGCAGAGCGCGAAAGTGATGGTTACGACATCGCAACTCCGTTCGGACCGACGCTTGAGGACGAGGAAAATCCATTCGGACCGGGAGCTCGGAGTGTGGACGCGGCTGCTGCACGTCACCGCGAGGCCGAGCGTACTCGCATCTTAAGTCGGCCGCTTGGGCAGGGGGAGGGCGTTGCTCGCGCCATCGCGCTATTCGATTTCCGCGCTGTTGAACCCGGAGATCTGTCCTTTTTGAAAGGCCAGGTCATCACCATCACCGAGAAGAGTGACACTACGGATACATGGTGAGGGTTTCGTGACATACCCTCATGAGTGTACTGATCTCCATTCACTTAGGTGGAAGGGTAAGCTCGATGGACAAGAAGGGTCATTCCCGGCTAATTTTGTAGAGGTTGTATGATTTTCATTGCTTGTAGTACTGTCTTGCTGCTGGTAGTATACTCTAAGGGACACTTATAGTGGATTATGTAATACATTTCTGGGTCACGCTCCACGTCGAGTACGGCTTGCTCATTCTACCGTGATGTCCTCCAAACGAAAATGGGACCAGGCCGCACCTGAAGAGTCAAAAGACGAGCCCGAATCTCCAGCAAAACTTGCAAAAGGGGATGACGGCAAGAATGCCTCTACCGCTGCCGCTGCAGCCGCAGCCATTGCAGCCAAAATCGCTGCTCAATACAGCGGCGCTGCTGCAGGGGGAGGGGCTGGACTACTCGGCCCCAAGGATATACACGACGGAGATTTTACCCAAGACATCGACATCAACGACGTGAGAAACCGGTATATGTTGACCAGAGGTTCTACCCAACAACAGGTGTGTTTCCCTCGTGTTAGCTCGCGGGTGAACCTCACAAATCGTTTTGGGTCTCTCCACTAGATTCATGAAGAAACGGGTGCCTCTGTCAGTACCAAGGGCGTTTGGTACCCGGACCGTGCGAAGGCTACGGAGAAGGACCCCCCATTGTACCTCCACATATCCGCGAATTCAAAAGAAATGCTGCAGAGAGCGATCGACAAAGTTAACGATCTCATCTCCGTTGACATGGGCTCTCTTGTAGAGGAAAAGGGGCGGCGCGAGAAGGTGCTGTTACTTTTCAAATGACAGAAGGGTTTGCACGCTCACCTTCCCCCAGCGCAAGTGGCCTGAGGAGAAAATCTTCATTGGCCTGGAATCCATTCGTAATTTCAACGTGCGCGCCAAGGTCGTCGGCCCTACTGTAGGTTCTTCGTGATTTCGGCGGGACCACTTCTCACGACGACTCGTCGATAGGGCATGTTCGTCAAGTATATTCAACAAGAAACGGGGACTCGTGTGCAGATCAAGGGTCAGGGATCGGGCTTCGTTGATCAGGAAACGGGGAAAGAGTCCGATGAGCCTATGCACATCCATATAACGTTTGTTTCGTCGCGACGCTCCTGGGCAGTTCTGACGTCTCTTCCAGTGGGCCAGAAGAGGGCCAAGTTGCACGCGCAAAAGTGTTGACCGATGACCTCCTCGAGGTTGTCCGGGGAGAATACGCGAAGGTCAAGGCCATAATGCACCAACAACAGATGGAACTTCACCAAGCCCAGATGCAATATGCCTCTTACGGCGTGATGCCTGTACGTGTCTTCTATCCATACGGCTCATCAAATTTTCCTTCCGCTGTTTCTGACGCATCTGCTTCCATTCAAGGGTTATGTTCCACCTCCCCCATCAGCGGCTCCACCGCCACCGCCACCCGGTGACCAACCACCACCGCCCCCGGGTGAAGGAGGCGCTCCCGGAACTAGCACTGCTTCTGCAGCACCAGCGCCTACCGACCTGGACGCCTACACTGCATATTGGTATACACGGTTTCACTCAACTTTAAAAACGGAGGACGGCTTCGCTGACGTGCAGGACAGGGCTGCCTATGGCTACGATGTTAACTCGCCTGAATTTAAAGAGTGGCAGGCGAGCCAGATGGCACAATACAACCAATACTACGCGTCTCAGGGATACGCAGCACCTGGCACTGATACCCCTGCTGCGGGGACTGGTGGACCGGGACCGGCGGCTCCTGCGCCACCTCCAAGTGAGCCAGCGCCACCACCACCACCTCCTGCTTGAGCACCTGCGGTCGATACATGCGCAAATCTGTAGACCCAATCTGTACAAGTGCTTTGTGCCATTGTGGGCGTCTCCAATATATTATGGATCTGGTTCCTATTGCTCGTACACAAGCAGTCCGCTATGGCGCTTGCTGCGGAGTGCAGGGATGGGCACGACGAGCGTCGCTGATACGATTACAACCTGCTACCAACGAATCTGTTGCTGGATAAAACAGTAATGGGTCTCATATTTATCGTACTATTTCTCTTCGTGCTTCTCCTATATTTATACGTCCGTTTGAACGATGCGAAGATCATGCAGCTACCTTATCACGTGGCTTCAGCTTTCTTTCCCAAAAGGATCAGTGCAAAGGATGCTCTGGAGGCAGCAGCTGCCTGGGAGAAGGTAGCGACAAATCTGAGAGCGAAGGCGTTCCTCCCCCCAAGAACCGGAAGAAGGTACATTGTCGTCGGCGGGGGTAGGTCTCAGTAGCGACCGTGGCCACGTCTCTCAAAAAGACTTTCAGGCTGGCCTTCTTGGCGGTTGGGTCGTTCGACATCTCCTTGAACACGGAGAACATCCCAAACGGTGCAGGGTCTTCGACATACGCGCTCCCGCGCGTCCAGATCTGACATTGAGCCTCGCCAAGGACGTCGATTTCCACCAGGTCGATGTGTCCGACGGGGAGCAGGCCCAGGCGGCCTTCAGCGCCCCGTGGCCGCCATCTTCTGACGAGGAGTCCGAGGACCCTTCCACAGCAGCCGACATCACCGTCTTCTACACCGCGGCCAATATCCGCTTTTACGAACGCAACCACAGGTTGTTGCATCTCTCCGACAAAGTCAACGTCGAAGGAACGCGTAACGTCCTGGTGGCCGCGCGGGCCACGGGCGCGAGCATCCTCATCTATACCTCGAGCGGTTCCGTGTCCGTTCGACGCACGCGGCTCTGGCTGTGGCCATGGGAGCAGCGGCCCCAGTTCATCGTACAGACCTTCAAAGACGACGACGACGACAGCAGCCCGCCGACACGCCACGACGAGATGGTTTCCAATTATGCCGCGCCCAAGGTCAAGGCCGATCGGCTCGTCAGGGCGGCCGACGGTGCGCCTTCGGGTCAACAAAGACTATGACTTCTTCGTACGGGATGTCTGCGCCCGGGGAACGGGATTTATGGTCCCGATGTGGGGACATCCTTTGCGACGCGTATCTCGCGAGGCAGGTCAATCCTTCCTTGGCGCAGGAAGTCCTCCAGAACTTCATCTATGTCGAGAACGCCTCGCTCGCCCACTTCTGCTACGAGCGGCGCCTGATCGAGACGGCGCGCGGTTCCCCCAATCCTAACCTCGGCGGACAGACGTTCTGCATCGTCGACGATGGCCCGCCCACCACGTATGGCGACGTGTATACCGTCCTTGCTACTCTCACCGACGGCCGGACCGCCTTGAGGGGCTGCAGATCGCGCGGTCGTTGATGGCGTCGTTGTCGAGCCCTATCATACGTCACCTCGCACGGTTCGTACCGGTCCCCACTGGGGACCTCGTTAATCTCCAGTCATCCCTTTTCTCCTTCGCCATGCCACATCTTATTTGGGACGATTCACGCGCCCGGACTTCACCGGAGAATGGCGGTCTGGGCTATAAACCCCGGTGGACGACGCTCAGTGCGCTATGCAAGCTAGTGGAGGAGCACAAAAGAACGGAGGGCCGCTTTGAGGCGAGGTCGATGGTCGGTGGGATAAGCCTTGGGTTTTGAGACAGGTTCCGGCGTCCCACGCAGTAGAACCGATGCCACACTTTGAGATTCGTGCTGTCCGACGGTCAGGTACTACATTAACTGAGTCAATAAAATTGTATTTAGTAGAGATCTAACATTTGACTGAGGAAGGAAAAATATATCAAATTAGCCCACCGCGAGGGTCGAACTCGCAGCCTTCAGATCACAGCTACCCGCCATAAGAGTCTGACGCTCTATCCGATTGAGCTAGGCGGGCGATGACTTTTGAGCTTGCCTGACGTTCATAAGTCGACAGCTCCGGGATTGTTTATTTCCTAATCACATCCGACTCACTTCCTGTGCCGTACAAGAAACCAAACTGTATTCGTGGTGATTGTCATGTGTGATAGATGAAAGCAATGGAGTGTATGAGGATAAGGTACTGCCACAAGCGAATCAAGCGCAAAGCAACTTAGGCATAGCAGTAATAATGTAGGGGAACGATGCGAAGGCGTACAACGAGGAGGTAACGAATCTATAACGATGGACTTCTCACCACCCCTCAAGGTTTCGGATCGATGCTGTAACCAGCCAGGGACATTGTAGACGAGGATGCCGTTAATGGCCCCACAGTCGCTTTGGTGACGGACGTGGAGTTCGGTGTTCCTGGTACCCATTGCACGTTTGGTGGTGCTTCGGGTCCAGGGGAGATGGGTCGCGACGCTGCAGGTGTGGGAACTTGGGACCGATTGTGGACAAGATGCGCGCGAACGAGGTGTCCAGCAGCGAGTGCGCTAAGGAGGGAGAGCTCGCCTGCCATGACAGCAGCGGCGATGATGCGAGCCAGCTGTTGTGCATTCTGACCGGGTTCTGTAGGATGTGCTCCTTTGACGCCAAGCATCTCCAAGACACTTTGCTGGGGAGCAAGGACAGTACCTCCGCCTACGGTACCGACCTCTATGCAAGGCATTGTAATCGTTACAAGAACATCTTTGCCCTCGTTCGTCCTAGTCTCTCCGTCAGCGCACAGTTCTCGAGAGGCGATTAAGGACTCACAACTCCATCAACGTCATGCAATTGGACGACTCCACATTCTGTGCTGGATCTTGGCCAGCGGCGAGGAATACCGCAGTCAAGATATTTGCGGCATGAGCATTGAAGCCACCGACCGAGCCTGCCATCGCGCTGCCGACCAGATTTTTTTTCGTGTTGAGATTGCACAGCGCTTCTGGAGTTGTCTTCAATACAGATTTAACCACGTGTCCCGGAACGATTGCCTCTGCAACTACACTCTTGCCGCGTCCCTCGATCCAATTAATGGCCGCGGGCTTCTTGTCCGTACAGTAATTACCAGACAGTGCGAGAACGATCATCTCAGGGAAGTACTTGCTCATAACTTCAAGGGCCTTTTCGGTACCCTTTGAAATCATGTTCATACCCATTGCATCACCAGTGGTCGTAGCGAACCGCACAAACAACGTCCGACCGGCCATGGCAGTCTTAAGCCTCTGCAGCTTGGCAAAGCGTGACGTGCTCTCGAAAGCTTCCTTGAGTATCGAGCTGCCTTCGGTCGAGTCAATCCACGCCTTGGCAGCAGCCGCAAGGGCAATAGAAGGGAAGTCAATCGCGGGACCACGAGTCATGCCATCATAGGTGACGACAGTAGCAACTCCTCCTCCAGCATTAAGAGCCTTGCAACCACGAGACGTTGAAGCAACGAGCGTGCCCTCTGCTGTCGCCATGGGAATTGGGAATAGTTCGCCGTCAATCTTGAGTGGACCTGCGATACCGAGGGGAATGGGGATATAGCCAACAACGTTCTCACAGCAAGCTCCCATGACGCGAGAGTAATCATAGTGCGACATCGGTATATCGGAGTGCTCTAGTGTTTTGGTCCGGGATGAACGGGCTGCAAGGTACAATCAGTTACAAGGCTGGTGGCGGGGGGTAAATACACGCACAGATTAACGCCCTTCGAATCAGAACAGCACGTTCCAAGTCCCCTAAAACCTTCTCAAGAGCATACGCTTGAATTTTACCGTTCTGGGCTAAAAGGATGACTTCCTCGTCGTTGAGCAGCGAGAGTGATTTCGATACTGGACGAGGACCATTCTCAAAGATGTCGATGCACTCTTCGAGAGATCGTGTGGGAGTTGAAGTCTCCTTACTGTCGGGCTCTTCGTCCTGCGAATCTGATTCATCACCTGTTGTAAAAGTAGGCTGTTGTGCCTTAAGTCTCTGATCAACCGAGTCCAGTAGCGATGAGATTCCATTGACGGAAGGCGGTCTCCGAACAGCTGGAATAGGAATGGGTCGAACGATTGCAGGCGCTGTGGAGTATACAACGATGTCTTCCTTTTGAGTCTCTGGGATAGCCGAGACAGGTGCGGCGGCGGCAGAGGGGGCCACTGGTTGTTTCTCCTGAACACGCTCCGTGTTAAATCGGACGCTCTGAGCCGGTTGGACAGTGCGAGTAGAACCAGTGCCGGTGGAAATACCCTTGAGTAAGTAACCGTTAAGCGCAACACTGACGCCAAGGATTAGAACGATCCATTTGGACAAGATGGGGTCGCCGACGAGCCGAGTCCATGAGGACATGAAGTTGTCGATCATGTCATCCGCATCGCGGCCCTTGATCTTGGACTCCTTGTGAAGGTAAGGTGGGGTGATAGGAACCATGCGCACGTGAACCGGCGCAGAAATACGAACGATCAATTCCGATCCATCGTGAAGAGCCGCAAGGTGAGAGAGGGAGTGCTGAATGGAAGGGCTGGTGATATCCACGGTGCGGAAGCCAGGTAGAACATCCCTGACGAGTAGAGTGCTTTGATCCTGCTGGAGGCGGGCCACGGCCGTACCAGGAGTGAATGGGGCACAGAGATTCAATAAATGGAGAGAGAGGAACGAGACGATCTACACGAATTAGTTAACTCAGGAATTGGGATGAACGGGAATGCGCTCACCAGTAGTAACTTCAAGCGAGCAACAGGATTCTCTTCCTTTCCGTCTTTCTCTTTGGATTGTGACTTGAGTAGTGAACCCTTTACGCCCAACAATGCCGCTGAGGTCCGCTGACGTAAGCTGAGTTTTGGCATTTGGAGTTGACCGTTCACAACCACGGGGGGCTTTACGTCTGACATGGAGGACCGTCGCGATGACAAGGCACGGAACATCTTGACGCGGCGCACCTGTAACAATACATTATTGTCAGTCGCAATCACAATGCGGGATGAGACAAGACAAGACAAGACAAGAAACGTGTCCCCCAAAAACCGGGGTTGCACGTGATATCTGAGCGGATTGGAACGCACCTCAATCATCACACTAAGAATAGCAACGTAGAAAGTGGCCGTGGCCGCGCAGTCTACGGTCAGCAACAGAGCGGCGAGAGCACAGAACTCCTTGAGCCCGCCGACCTTGCTATATGCGCCGATGAGAAGTACAGCGATCTCAAGAACATAGTCCCGAACGATAATGTTGCCGACCTTGTCGAGGGCCTCCATGATGAGGTCGGGGGCTGGCTTCATCTGACCGCGGAGTCGGCCTTCTTGAATAGCGGGTTGCACGAGATGAGGATGACCGAACACGGCGCGAGCGAGGCGAAGGGGCTTCTCGAATCCAACTGTGCAGACCAAGAAGGGCAAAGCTTCAATCAAGCTCACAGGGTCAAGAGGGATGCGCAGATAGTTAGCAACGGGTAAGGCAACCATGAAGGAAAGAATTGAGGATGATAGGACTGCAGTTGTCAACCAGAAGTTCGAGCCAAGGCTGCGAGACGACAAGAAAAGGCGAATGAAGGTCGTGTGCATCAGCACATACCCAGCAAGGACGAGCAGGATATCTAGATTATCCGCTTTCTGACGGAGCACGCCGCGGTTAGACCAGGTCCATACAAGACGGTAGGCCTGCACCGACCTTGGTAAGGTCCCAAAAGCGGACTACTAAAGTGCGCGCTGCATACACGACCCACTTGCCGCTCTTCATCTCCGAGACGGTCTCATGCTCTGGATTATCAACAAGATATTTGATTGGGCCAAAGTCGTCTGAAATGAAAGGACCATGCTTTGCAAGAGCATTGATGAACTCTTTACGACTACCCGCGGTGAATGAGAGAGTGAGCGACTCGGATCTTGGAATATCAGAAACAGAGGACGTGAAACAAGTCGTTTCTCCACCCTGGTCCCTTGAGACGGAGTGGCAAATATCCGGGTATAGACTTTCAGAGACCGTGGGGAAACGATGGGTGAGGAAGTGTGTTATATTCTCTAGGGAGCTCGCCACCTGCGAGGAAAGTCTCGGGTTCTCAGAAATCTGAACGAGGATATCAGTGCGCGTAAATCAAACGAACAGGTGAGTATACCTTCTTCGCCGTCCTTGCATCGAAAGACATAACCAATTGCTGAAGGTCGACGGCGGCGACGTGTGAGCGATGAACGAGAGCGCTGTGCCATTCGTTTTCTTGAACGGTGGCCCAGTCGCCATTGTGCCATAATGCATGAGCCGGGCGTAATGGGGGGAGCGAAGTTGGGGCGAAGAAAGAAGAATGCTTGATGGCGGAGAGGACATGGAAATATGCGAGTGTGGCGAGAACGAAAAAGAACACGATTGTCTCTATGGGTGAGGACGCAGCATGGGTTGAAATTGGGCGAATTAAAGCCCTCATTGTGGGCAGAGTGTGGGTGTGCGCGTGAGGACCAGGGAGTCGATTACGAGCTGTCGGGTTGGGTCAACACGGTTCAGAGAAGTAGACAAGGTGGGCGCCAAACTGACAGGGCTAACGAGTAATGTTTTGTCTATGAGAAGAAAATAAAGAGAGAAAGAAAAATACGAAGAGTCGTACGATTGCGAGAAGAGGAAGGTGGGGAAAATAACAGGCGATGGACATATTTATTTGATTGGTGAAATGTATTGAGTGACAAAGACCCCGGAAAGCGTGCTTGAACGATCCGTCGGATTACCGCCTCAGGCGTCAGCGCTCAACACACCCCACGAGCCGCCACTATCGCACATTACGGCGCCTTCCCTACATCTCAGCCACCAGTTACAACCCCTACATCCTTGTCTTGATTTATGATCCGATTATCTCGCTCCTGAAACGATGGAACCGCCCGGCCGCTCACATGAGCACACCGTACCACTACAGTAGGAGCCCGTATATGTAACGGTGTAACTGCGTGCTATTCGGCTGTATGAGAATAAGAATGTCACTTCCCTACTCTCGCGAGTTTTGACTTTTGGGGTTGCCCCAGCCGCAAACTTGTTCGGTGTCCTCGAGCG